CCAAGTATTTTTTGTTTAATGTGTCTCTTTCATTATTTGCTTTCCAGGGTCCATCACTTAAGCAGTTTATGGACATTTTTTCTCTTCCTGAAATGACGCTGCTCTCTTCAGTCATTGACTACTTCATAACTCATGGTATTGAGTTTGACCAGGTGCATCTTTACAAGGATATATCCGTAAGTAAAATGTCAACTGCCCCATAGCTCATACCACATCAGAATTGTGAGCTCTTAGGCTTGTTAGCACCAGTGACTTCTGCACTACCCAAACTTAAGGGGCTGTCAGTGAGTAGCCTAATATGACAGTGTTGTCGCCCCTTTAGGTTAAAGCATCACTAGGGAATATTCAAAGCTGTGTTTTTCAGAACATGTTAGGTTTCCGTCTGTACTACAGAGTTGGTGTTGCTGTACGTTATCTCTTGCAGAAGTGCCCAGGCTGGTTAGGTTGAAGGCCCTTCCATGGGAAATATGTCACAAAGCTTGTGTAAATGTTTTCTGGTTCTGCAGACTTTTAAGCTCTGTTTTCTTGTTAATATTTCATTTTTCAAAGAGGCTCGGTCTGACGGTGTACCAAACAGTTTGCCTTATAGAACGATTGTTGTGAAACACCTGCCCTTGCCTGCTCTGAGAGTCCACCCCTTCCCTTTGCAGCTACAGAGTAGTCTGATCCTTTCGGGGTGCTTTCCAGTGGGTGACTAACATTCAAGAGCCAGTTACTCCAAGGTGCTAACTGTGCCCTCCAGCTTCACTCCTGACATTTGAAAAGGCTGCATTGGATCATCAGCGTTGTTAGGGGGTACTGTTTGACTTCTTAGTTAATGTTGTAGGCAAGATGTAAGTGCTTGAGATTGCTGCTCTTGGTGACTTCTGTTGACAGATGATCCATCTTCCTTGATAGCCAAGCCTTATCACATGCCTTTTTCCATGGAGAGGGGTTTTTGATTTGTACCTTGTGGGAATCTTATGCTCATCCACTGCTAGCAGCCCATACATACGCTGTTCAGTCTTCTTGTCAGCGAAATGGAGCTCTGCATCTGTGGTGCTGCTTTTGTGATAAGGATCCATGCTGTCAGCTTTGCTGCAGCCAAGGATTACAGCTTACGTTCTGACCTTCTGTTAGTGCTCGATAAGAGCTTACCAGCCAGTTTCCCACAAACCTTAACATATTTCTAGAGTGTTAGTTGTTGTAGTTGTTTTCGCTCTTGGGGTGGGAAAAAGGGGATACACTTGACTCCCGAGGCCTTTGTCAAGAGTGTCTTCTGAACCTTCTTTTGAGGTCAAAATGGATGCGTTCCTAATTGAAATCTTGAGAGCAGGTGGGTGGTTGCCACAGCCTAATACCTACTCAATACAGGGCAAATGGTGTGCTCAAGGCCCAAAACTCTTGAGTGCTCATCCTGGCATTTGTCTTTGCATCCTTTGCTGAGGGATGTGGTCATTCCTGAGGAGTGACAGAGGTAGGCAGAGAAGAGACCTCCAACAGAAAATCTGTGCCAATGCCTGAAATCTATACTGAAAAGTTGGGGACTGTCCTGTGCTGTCACCAGAAGAATTCTTGCTTTTTTGCTGTACAATGAGGATAAACCAATATTTTAGCAAAAGTTATTGCTTTGCAGTATCGGAGTGCAAGTGTAAAGCAATGGTTTGTGGACGTGAGCCCAGAGATCCTTCTGTGCCTACACAGACAGGTGTCCGAGAGGACTCGCATAGCCCCAACTGTTATTACAATGCAGGCTCACAGTGAGTTAAGACATGTCTAAACCTGACACTCTTCTGTAATTCTTAGCGGTAATCTGTCTGTTTGGAAGCAGGTTGAGTGCTAGAGACAGTGCACTGAGTCAAAAGGGCAGACCCTGAGGCAATGATAAGGGTTGAAGCTGACATGTAAATCGAGTAGTCCCATCACACCAGTTTGGTGGCTTTGTATTTGAGAGTAAGAACTACAGTTTACCCTGCTTTCCTTTGGAGGAGTTTCTGAGCCCTGTTTGACACCTTCCCAGGCTACCCAGATTTTACCTGCAGGAACCCTATAGTTCTTTTTTTTTTCTTCTATTTTTTTTTCTTTTTGGGGGGCAGGGTTTTAAGGAAGGAGCACACTGGAATCTCTTTCTGCTGTGCAAAGGTAATTTTGACACAAATCCAAAGTGTTGCCTGCTTTTAGTGCCAGTGCTGGTCAAGAGAAAGTTGTTTTCTTGTTAGTCCTCTTGCTTTTTGATCCATTTCTTTCCAATAAGGCAGTCTCTTGGTGAATGAGATGTGACCTCTGCCTTTATACCATTCAAATCCACATGGTAGAAAGAGACCCCTGAAACTCTGTTTTGAAGAGGTAACGCCGCCTCCTTCATTGTCTCCCACCTAAGTTGTAAATTCTGGTTCTCTCTCCGCTTGGAAGGAAATGATTTTTGGGGTGATGAGCTGGTTTCGCCAGCACTGCCGTGAGACCAGGTGACTGTGTGGTGTTGTGTGCAAGTGTCACTGGAGCAATGTCAGTGGCGAGAGTGGGAATCCAGTGTGAAAGGGCAACTCCCGAAGGAGCTCACGAAGTGTCACAGGGATTTGAGGATCCTGGGGAAAGGCATGTTTACCTCTCTAAACTGTCAGGGATGAAAGCAGTACCATTAAAACAAGCATTTGCATGTGCATACACTGCAAAATGTGTTGCTCCTCTGGAAATGGTTTTGTGTATCTGGCATATCTCACTGGATGGAGACTTGGGAAGAATCTCAGTTGGGTGTGTCCAAAAATGTGTTGCATCTTGGCCTCTGGCCTGGAAAATAGAGGATATTTGGATGCCCTTCACAATAACTCTTTTAACTTGCATCCCGGGCAGCTCTATTTTGGCAAAAATCCCTTACCCTCCCAGTGGAAGCTTCTGCTCTGCCTGTGCCCACTGGCCATCCAGGGCTAGGAGCTGTAGCCCTCCTTGGCCTTGTGAGGAGCGTTTTGGAATCACAGATGTTCACCTCTGTTGCTGTTCACCTCGGCCACGCTCCCATCCTTTGAGTCATGTTTGGCAGAGCTTCTACAGACACAGGGAGGAAGAAAAGCCAGCTAGTGGCAGTTTTGGGGCAGTAAATGGTTTTGATTGCCTTGGGTAAAAGTGTGTTAACATATGCTAGTTTCCAGGAGCAGGAAGGAAGTTGTGCTTTCATGGGGCGTTTTTGAGGTTCTTCGTCTTATAGTGCATCAGTTGACCGAGCCACCATGGTGTTCTTCTTCGTATGTTGGTGAGCCTGGCTGTACAAGGTCATCTGCTTAGCATTGATGTAGCTTTTGTTCATTCAGCAAGAAGAGAGGATGTGTCATTACTGTATTGGTCCTCAGTGGTGGCAGTAGGTTTGCTCGCTGGGAAATGGGAATGCCATATGTAAAACTGAACCTTTTCTCCCTGTCCTTTTCTTTAGGATGCTATTAGAGATGTACATGTGAAAGGAGTGATGTACGAATGGATTGAAAAAGATCTGGGTGAGTTAAATGGAGCTCTGGTGCCAAATCCATTTTGATGTGTCATGTTCTGTGATGACTGTGTAGGTCCTACATGCTGTCACAGGAGTGAGGAGGACAAAGAACTTAATGAAATGATTGTGGCATGCCTAAAGGCAGCTGAGGGGTAGAGTGGCATTAAAAACCAAGTGGTGTTTAGGGTCAGGTGGAGGATCTGTTTTAATGGAGGAAACAGCTACCTCATTGCTCGTGTTTCTGTTTTCCTTCAGCTTGTAAGCGAGAGCTGATGGGCCTTGGCATGATGTGAACATGCAAAGGCACCACCTGGAAGGACTTCCTGGTCATTCTGGGGAAAGAAAGGTCCTGGTAGCAACATGGCCTGGAGTGGCTGTGCCTGTCCCTTGTGACAATTTGGTATCAACCCTCTTTTTCGCCAGCCTTTTCAGTTCCTCAGTCTTTCTCTTCCCTTTAGATGAGATGGATGAGGATGAGGAAGGCCATTTTGTTGCCATGGTGGTTCACTGCCTGCCTGCCTGAGGTGGATCTAATTCTGGCCTTTTGCAACCCCATGGTCTAGGGACTAGGTTTGGTTTTGTTTATAAAGAAATGTGGTCATGACTTATGCCAAAATTTTTGATTGATGATGTCTGTTTTATTCCGATATAGAACAGTATATTCTGCACGGGGATGAAATCTATGCTGTGCTAAACCGGCTGGTGAACCACAAGAAGAAACTCTTCCTCATTACAAACAGTCCCTTTAGCTTTGTGTGAGTACCGTTATTGCACATCGATGGGTCACCATGGCACAGCAAAAGCTGTGCAGTGTGGTCTCTCCTGTGAGCATCTGAAAGTTGTATGCTAGAGGCTTTTGTGGCAATAGTCATGAGACTGCTCTCTGGGAACCAGTTGTGGTGAATGTTGCACCCCACAGCTCTCTACATCATTGACTCTCACTTTTTGAAGAAGATATGATGCTGTGGCTGGCCACAGCGTTACAGAGTGGCCACTTCAGATTACCTCTAGCAGCTTTTGCCGCATCACAGACTTCTCTGGACTTTCCACGGTACAGGAGAAAGGTTGAGACAGCTTGAAACAGTCAAAGTGCTACATCAATACTTCATGCAATGAGACAGCCTTGGGGCTTTCTTCTCTGTTACTGAGAGTAAATTTAGGACAGACTGTTGTAAAAATGCAGTGTTGGGTGAAAAAGAATACTGGATCTGTTAACTTTTCTGTTCCTTTGCCCTTAGGGACAAAGGAATGAAACACATGGTTGGCAAGAACTGGCGGGACTTATTCGACTTGGTCATTGTGCAAGCCGGCAAGCCAAATTTCTTCACTGATCGGCGGAAGTACGTGTCCCGGGGCAATACTGCACTGCTGCCTGTGGGCCTCAGGTTTTGGGCCCCCTTCCCTGGTGTAAATGGCTCCTTTTACCTGCCAAAAGAGTAGTGGTTTTCTAAGCATAATCTAGGTCCAGTAGGCATCCAGCCTGCTGCTGCCCTCTCACGTATTCTCTGAGGAGATGAAAACTGACCTGTCTGGGAATAAGTGGATAGAATGGGTAGTGCCAAGCAGAAAGCCTTTTTCTAAATTGGCTGCATTAAGCCACATTAGTTTTGTCATGGTCTGGACTTAACTTAGATTTTTAGTGGTAATAATGTACTTAAATATTTAGAAAGAAAAGAGGAGAATGGTGTGTATGAGAACTGGCCATTTCTTGGCTCCAGGACTTGAGTGTGTGCCAAAATCTTTCCTTTTCCTGTTCCCCACAGCAAATATCTGTGTGGTTTGGGGTTTTTTTTGTTTGTTTGTTTTGGTTTTGTTTTTGTTTTTTTTCCCCCTTTAGTTACTGGATACATGCTGTTTGGTAATTGGCAGCTCTGGAAGCCTTTGTACGTGGCGGCTGGGTTTTGTGGTCGTTTAGGAGCTGCCAAGGGACTAGTTGATAGGCAAGCTGCTGTCCTCACTTTGCTCTTTGGATTATTTGCTTTGGGAACTTGTGTCTGCTTTGTTGCCTCAACTTACGACTGACCAGGAATGACTGCCCTTGAGGGAGAGGTCTGTTCTTTCCTCTTTAAGTATTTTCTTCCCCCATTTCCCAGGCCACTAGCATAAACAGAAGTAAGCCTACAAAATGGCTTTATAAGGGGAACCTCCTGATAGTGAGCTGTAGAGAACTGTGGAGTGTTTTCTCTGAGGGAAAATGCAGGTGTGCGCTGGAGACCATTCATGGTTGAGGAGCCCCTTGCCCAGGAGGGCTGTAGAGTTCATGGTAGGAGGCTGGATTCCTTCTGCCCTGTGGCAGCTCAGGATCAGACAGTACTTCTGGATGAGATTGTGCTCTGTTTGCACCAGGGCTTTTGATCCCAGAGTTCACAGTTTGCAGCTCCTGTCCCAAGAGGGAGCAATGTTCCCATCGAGCATGAATGTTCATGGGAGTCAAGTAATTTAAGCCTTGTTTTGCTTCTTCTGTCCAAGTGGAAGGTAACCAGGCAAACCCTCAGGAACAGGAGCCAGCTCGGGTCAGCTGCCGAGATCAACACGGAGACTGCTTTCCATCCACTCTGCAGACTGTTTTATCCTATTAAGACATTCCATGGTCTCTGTTGGGCTGGGGCATAGCCAGACTCGAACAGGACACAAAGTGTTTCATGGCAAAGCATTCTTGGCCTTAGCATTCCAGAGGGAGTCTTTATTTTTTTTCCCTCTTCTCTGTATCTGAAAAGCAAGAAGAGTTGTTAGGGGTATTGGCATGAAATGGTTACAGTCAATGGAAGCGTTTTGAAAAGATATTTCCCTCTTGCACTTTTTCTTCCCCTGAGAAAATAAAGCAGAAGGCCCAGAAGGTCACTTCTCACATACAGCTTTTATTAGTTGTTACATAGGTAAACAGGTTTTCTGATTCCAATGTTGTGGTTGCTGGGTAACAATCGCCAAAAATCAAAAGAAGTTGACGTTTCCCCCCTTTTTTTCCAGACCTTTTCGAAAACTGGATGATAAAGGCTCACTGCAGTGGGACAAAATAAACCAGCTGGAGAAAGGAAAGATCTACAAAGAGGTAAAGTGAACAGGTGCATAAGGGGCATGAAGCCAGAGTCTGAAATGGTGGGGACTTGTAAGACACCTGCAGTTCTGGAAGTCACTGGAAAACAGGAAAATCTGCTTAGTCAGGGTCGGGGAAAATGATGGGTTCTTCTATAGGTCACTTGTGGATGTTTGAAAAGTAAAAAATGGAAGTCCTTGAAAAAAACGCCTGATAGATAGAGGGCAGTTGTAAGAAGACACACTCTAGGCTCTGTGGCTGCGGTGGCTGGTGGCAGCAAGACATGCCCTCTGCCCACATGCAGACAGCTCTTGCTAGCCCAGCAGGACACAGGCCCCCTCTCTGAATGCTTTCAGCATGTTGTGGAGCAGTAGCCTTGCGATTTGCATGCCTCTGAAAAGTCTTTCAGCTTCTGCTGGGATGTAAGCATTTGAATAAAGGGTTTTTTCCTCTGTCAGAAAGCCCTGCCAAGGCCTGTGTTGCCTGTCAGCATGCGATAAACTGACCTCTGAGAATGGTGAGAGACGCTTTGAGCCAGATGTAGAAAAGACTACCCTCCTGGCAATCACAGCTTTTTGCAGTTGCAGGAGGCAGAGCTGAAATAAGGTATAACAGAGCTGCCTGGTAGGAAAACTTTTTGTCTGCAGCTCTGAAACAGTTTCTTACCCAGCTTCGTGTAGGTCACGCTGCAGAAAGGTGTGTGACAGGAGTGATGTATGCCACCCAGCTCAACGGGGCTTTGCATTAGAGATGGAGGGACAGAGACAAGGGGAGAAAAGGCAGAGCAGGGCCAGTTAAGTTAAGGTTTTGGGTGCTTGCCTTTCTGCCCAGGAGGGCCTGTGCTGGGTTATCTCTGCCAGGATGTTTTTCCCTGTTGCTGCCCTGTTTGTGTGAGGAGGGGTAGTAGGGAAACATCCTCTTCATGTGTAGCAGGGGTCAGTGAATGCCCCCTGCCCCAGTGTACAATGAAACCTTCACCCTAGGAGCTCTGTTCTGACATTGTCCAGTGTGGCCGATAATGCAGTTTTTCCCTGGCTCTTAGAATCATAGAATCGTTTTGGTTGGAAAAGACCTTTAAGATCATTGAGTCCAACTGTTAACCTAGCACTGCCAAATCCACCACTAAACCATACTAGCACTACATCTATGCGTGTTGTAAATACCTCCAGGGAGGGTGACTCAACCACTTCCCTGGGGAGCCCATTCCAGTGTTGCCACCCCTTTTGGTGAAGAATTTTTTCCTAATATCCAATCTAAACCCCCCCTGGTGCAACTTCAGGCCATTTCCTCTTGTCCTACCGCTTGTTAATTGGGAGAAGAGACCCACACTCACTGGCTACAACCTCCTTTCAGGTAGCTGTAGAGAATGATAAGGGTTCCCCTCAGCCTCCTTTTCTCCAGGCTAAACAACCCCAGTTCCCTCAGCTGCTCCTCATCAGACTTGTGCTCTACACCCTTCACCAGCTTCGTTGCCGTTCTTTGGACACGCTACAGCACCTCAATATCTTTCTTGTAGTGAGGGGCCCAAAACTGAACTCGGTACTTGAGGTGCGGCCTCACCAGTGCTGAGTACAGGGGGACAATCACTGCCCTGGTCCTGCTGGTCACACTATTTCTGATACAAGCCATGATGCTGTTGGCCTTCTTGGCCACCTGGGCACACTGCTGGCTCATGTTCAGCCAGCTGTCAACAACGCCCCCAGGTCCTTTTCCACTGGGCAGCTTTCCAGCCACTCTGCCCCAAGCCTGTAGTGTTGCCTGGGGTTGTTGTTGTGACCCAAGTGCAGGACCTGGCACTGAGCCTTGTTGAACCTCATACAATTTACACGTCTTCTGATGTCCTGGTCCTGAAACTCTTGTCCTGGACGGGGTCCCAAGAGTGTGGTAGTTCAGGGTAAGAAGGCAGAGCTCTCTGCAATCTGATGTGTATGCAGAGATCTTCCACAACTCGCTCCAAATCATCCTCCATAAGGTTGGAAAAGGTGGACTTGTGGAGGAGGGAATAGAGAAACAAGGGTGATCAGATAGGGTACAAAGCCTGGCTTCCGTCTCTCTCCCCTTCCTGAAGGAGAAGCATATCTGACCAGGCTGTTACTCTGGTGAACTTGCTGCCTTGGGGTGTTCTCCTTGCAGCTGGTCTGTCCCCTGAGAACAAGTTGTCTCTAGCATTAGGACAGTTTGTTCTTGATTATGTGAGCTGTCCAATCCCACGGGAAGAAGCTGTTAGTGAGATTGCGGTCAAGTAGCTGGGACCTGACCTGTGATAGAAAAGTAGGTCATGTCCTTGAGTATTGCTGTTGGGAAGCCTCTGGCCTGGCCGGTGGGTCTGTCAAAAGTGTCCCATCCCCTGCCAAGAGCTAGGGGTTGGGAACACACAAGTAGAGCTCATGCAGAGTCTCTCTCCCTGTGGGTTAGCAGCTCCCTCAGAAGAAAAGATGCACCTCAGGCACAGGGTTTATTGCTGAATTAAACCCTGCTCTTGACCATCCACCTCCTGTGGCCACAGGTTGCTCACCTAAATGAATAGTGCACTGGGGAATGGAAAAGCTGAGAGAGGAAGGAGGGATGGGTGGGATTTTGGGGTCCTTTCCAGTCCTCCCCCACCAGGATGTTCATCCGACTGCATCAAGGTTGTTGCCTAACTGTGGTTCTTGGGATGTGACAGAGTGTGTATCCTGGTTGTAGTCCACCTTGTCCCCATAATTTTTGGTTTCTTGGGGTGCCACAATATGCTTTTTTCTGGCAAGTGGTAGTGGCCGTGGACCTTGCTGTGCTGGTGACATCGCTAGAGGCCTCCGAGCTGACTTGTTGCTGCCTCCTGAAGCACAGCTGTATGGTGGTTGTGCTGTGGGTATCTCCTACAAATGGGACCTCAGGGGTCCGTGTATTGCACTGAGGACGGGGACGTTCAAGTGATGGCTCTCTAGTCCCTCCTTTCTGATAGATGTGGTGTTTTCTGTTTGTGTCATGTATGTACTCCCATTCCTCCCCTAGTCTGTGATCTCAGGGGGCGAGGAGGGGGACACCTGGCTCCTGGAGGCCACATAACAGGTCTGTGGCTCAGTGGAAGTCCAAGCACAAGTTTCCTGGTTGTCAGGTCCACTGCTTTTTGAGGTGACCAGAGCACAGCAAAAGGATCATCCTCTTCCCAAGGCTGTGTTCCATTTTCCTGTTCTGCCAGTGGCTTCCTCAGCAACCCTCAAGCAAGCAGCAGCAATGTCATGTCCAAGAAATGCAGAGGCCTCCTGGCCATGTTTCCATGCAGTTGAGGGAAGTCTGCACAGCTCTGGTGATACTGTAGCAATGGGAGGGCTGGCACCCTGGTTCTGGGCATCCTTTTCAGTGCATACAGCATGCTGCCAGTGGCCACACACAGGCTGCAGGCTTTTGTGGGAGCTGGCTTGTGTTTGGGGGTTTTCTGCCCGGGCTGGTGCTGTTGGGTAGGCATGCTAGCTCTTTCCTGGCACTGGAGACTGGCTGGAGAGATCGCTGCCGAGTGCAGGTTTGCATTGATGGCTTGTGCTGGCACAGTCTGGTCTGCTGGTGTTGATGGGGCCTTTTCCTTTCCAAGTGGGTTTTGTTTCCATTGTGACTCATGTGGAAAACTTGCATGGAGATGGCAGGGAGGTCCCTGAAGTCTCCTCTGTGTGCAGACAGATGTTTGGAAAGACTTGAAAGCTGCTCTGTGCTGTGCTTTAGCTGGTGCTTTGGGGTTTGGTTTGTTTTACTTAGCTGTGAATCTGCCCAAGCTGCCTGGCTTTTTGGCTTAGTTAAGCAATTTCTGTGAACGCGTGGGTGGTGTTAATCTTTTTTTTTTGGGTTGGGATGGTGGTCAGTGATGTGAGAACAGCCTCAAGTGCTCCTGACTCCAAAAGCCTTGCATGATGGTGCTCACCTCACCTCTGATGCACTCTGTGAGGCAAAATCATTATCACCCAAGCCCAACAACTTCTAAACCAAGAACACCTGGGGTTCTTTCTGTCCATCGCTCAGGCTTTTCTAATTTAGGTGTCTTTCACTTTTGCCCTCTAAACTGCCTCTTTTTGTTGCCTTTTTTAGTCTGTGTAGTCCTCTTGACTTGCTATGCCCTAGACCACAGAACTTCCCCTGAATTATCTATTGAGTTTGGAAGAGTTTCTGCCTCTTTTGGTAGCCTAAGAAAAGCTGAAGGGTGTACAGGGGGGGGCTATCATGTGGGAAGAAAGTGAAATAAAATGGGGAAGGACAAAAACCTCTGGATTTGGATGGTGGGGGAGCGAGCAGGTCGACATCTCGTGAGAGTGCTCACATCTGCATGTGGTGAGGATGGAGGCATTTGGCCTGTAACCATGTTTCTCTCTCTGCTCTGCAGGGTAATCTCTTTGATTTTCTGAGGCTGACAGGCTGGCGTGGGTCCAAAGTGCTCTACTTTGGCGACCATCTGTACAGCGATCTTGCGGTGAGTGAAAAGGTCTTTGCTCTCCAGTGAGGTGGGAGCAAGTCTGTCTGACTGTTGTGGTTGCAGCTGTGTTAGAGCATAAGGCAAGGCCCTGCTTGGGGAGCTCAGGTTTCTGGTATGCTGCGCTGGGTGCTCTGCAGGCTGCAGCTTTCGGGGCACACATAGGACACATAAGCGTCCCCCACTCTGCTGTCAGGCAGAATCACGCAGTGGAGAAAGGGCTCCTCTGCTGGTCTGTGAACCTGAGCGCAGTTTGTGTGAAGTCAATGTTTCCAGGTGCTTCACACAGCTGGGGGCCAGGAGATGGGGGTTACCAGCATGGACCTTGGATGCCTGTCCCCTGAGAACCTGTAATGGGAACAGACCACTCTTCTAGGAAACAGGGTTGTGTTTGGCTTTCAGTCTTTATGTTGAATTCTTGGTTGGTTTTTTCCACCCCGACCTCTAGGACCTCATGCTGCGTCACGGCTGGAGGACTGGAGCCATTGTTCCTGAACTGGAGACGGAGATTCGGATCATAAACACAGAGCAGTACATGCACTCCCTGACCTGGCAGCAGGCTCTGACAGGGCTGCTAGAGAGAATGCAGGTAAACAGCGCCTGTCTGAGCAGGAAGGGTAATACGCTGCCTTCGGTGTCTGCGTTTTGGGCTTAGTGTGGGAATTGGGGGACGTACCATTTTGCTTACGTTCTCAAAAATATCTCATTGTCCTGGTGTGGTGGACTTGTGGATTTGTGAGTTACAGTGGAAAGTGGGGGGGAGCTGAGGTGTGGACTACAGGACTGATGCAATGTGGTGCTTGCTGCTGTTGGCTTTGCAGATGTATCAGGATGCAGAATCGAAGCAAGTATTGCTGGAGTGGATGAAAGAACGGCAGGAGATCAGGTGAGCATTGGCCTCCTCACCCGTGAAGTCTCTTGGGGGCTTCCAGGCCTACATTGGGTCTGTTTTGTAACCTGGTTTCAGGACAGTGGTGCTGCAGTTGTTGGCCTGTCGTTGTCCCTGGTGTCCCTCATCTGGGAGGAGATGCAGCAGTGCAGCCCTGCGGCTTGGGAGGTT